TCAACAAAGGTGACCTTAGAATTTCCTTTCTTATTATGATAAATTTGTATTCATCTCAACTTGAGTCAAGTATCCCATGCAAAATAATATATATATATGCTATTAGTATACATCACCTCAACAGGCATCTCTCTCAACCAAGTTGATCTGAAGGCTTCATCAAGACACAACTCATACCTTTGCACCTCAACAGGGTGATCTCAGACCTTCTTCTACCAAACATCAATGGGATCAATTTGCTCACTTAGCTCACCCTTCTCAATCACCATTTCACTCAACATCAATGGAAAAATAATAATGAAGATTAATGGGACAACTATTATACCAAAAACATACCCTGTATCTTTTCAAACCAAAGAAAAAGGGGGAAGGAAAATTGAACAAGATAATAAGAAAAAAAAAGAGGGGGAAAAAGAGAGAAAAAGAAGAGATGAATGAAAAAAGGGACCAAGAGTAGAAACAAACCAAATTGGATGAGAGACAAAACCTAAGAAGAAATAACACCTAATCTAACCCATAAAAAAATCCAATAAAAGAAGTGAGATATTCTATTATTCTTCACCCTTTTTTAATTAGGTTATATAGCATGGATCCCTCACTTTCATTATTCTTATATCTCTAGCTTAGATAATAATGATTTTTACTAGATTCATATTTTCTCTCTCATATCTTCTCCTTTTCCCTCATGCTTAGACTTCATTACATTATCTGAAAGTTTGTTAGGGTTGTTAAGCCCTTATGAACTAGCCCAAGGCTAACCAAGATGGGGGTTAATTTGTAGTTTTAAAAAAAATCTTAAACAAAAAGCACGATCATTTTGAAATATTTTAAAACATCAAATATATGATCACGCACATGAAAATAAAGTGTTGAAATTAAAGTGCAAAAACATAATAAGAAAGAGCACACTAGATTTTATAGTGGTTTGATCAACTTGACCTACATCCACTCCCTAGAGCCTCTCATCTGGTATTTCACTAAAATCAATGACTCTCCTTTTTCTTCCACAGCAAGGCAGAGAAGCCTGTACAAAAACTCATTTCCACCGACTCAAGTGAGGTAGAGAATCTAACTCCTTTCACTCCCTCCTGAAGCAGGAAGAAAACTCAGACTCCTTTTGCTTCCTCCTGGAGCAGGCAGATAACCTTGATTGATTGCTAAAGAAGACCTCCCAAGAGCCTCTAAGGAACCAGGGATGATGACTGGAGAAGAAGACTCAGATCCATGCTTGGAGCAACCATTGTGAACCCCTCATAAACTCCCCCTCACAAGATCCTCTCTCTCTTTCCCAAACTCTCCCTCTCTTTCTCTTGGCTATCTCAGGTTAGGACAAAACAAAAGATCTCCACTTGAATAATCAAGATATCTTATAAATAAGGGCTTAAATTTGTCCCTAAATTCCAACAAGCTATCAAAGATCATCTAGGATGATCGATTGTGTATTTTCAGTCCTTCCATCCAGGACGATCGGGAGGGCTTGACGATTGGAACCCTTATTTATTCTGATCAACCCGGATGATGTGAACATCTTCCTGTATGATTAGTTAAAAACCCAATAGACCATCTAGCATCATTCTATTCATACAGAGTGATATATGTTGGATAATGAAGAATTATAACATATCATCCAGGACGATCCTTGAATCATCATGTGCGTTAGTTCAAAATCATGAATTTTCATCTAGCACATCATTCGGCCCATCTAGGTGATCTAGGAGACGATGAATTTTTTTATAAATGATCGTCAAGGATGATCCTACGAACGTCTAGGATGATATGATCGATAAATCAAACTTTAATTGCTTTCCTTAATCACTTAATTAATTTAGGCATAATTGTAATGAATCATCCAGGATGATATGGGATCATCCAATATGATTTCTTAAAATAAAATCATTCCTAAATGAGTTAGCGACTGATTCTTTCTTATTTGAGTCTATCATCTAGGATGATGTTAAAATATTGTCCTAGACAATTTGCTTAATTTGGCTTCCTTAACCAGGATGCCCTAATTAGGGTTTCTATTTTTAACTGATTATTGAGGACAATTTTGGATCTTCTCGAATGTTATGATCAAAAATAGAAAACTCTAAAACATACTAATTTTTTCCCCTAAGTGTATGTATACAATGTTACTTAGCGTCATGATCCACTTTGTTACATTTGACTCAATAAAAGGTAAAAATACTCAAAGTACACTTACATAATGACTCAGTCTTAATCTATCCAATCTTGAGCTAGCTTGAATTCCAATTAATCTTTTTAACCTGAAATGTTAGTAAGCAACGCAACAGTAGAGAAACAAAAATACCAAAAATATTTGTTATCGTCAAAATTATAATCCTTGAATCCATGTTTGCAACATTCGCCCCACAAGCTCTTAGTTCGTAGTTCAAAGTTTAGCCCGACATCATCAACTAAATAAAATTAGATTTAATGCATAAAAAATTGAACATATATCATTCCTTGGGTCTAAGTGGCATGTGAACAATATGGTTTATGTTATTCACTTCACATTTTTTATTTATAGAAACTCATTATGTAACACCTTAATGACACTCATTTCTCTTACCTTATCTTTAGTGAGCACTTCTAAGGATTTTGGGCACCTACATATTATGTCACAAACATCCATCTTTAGTGTATTATCTCATTTGTTATTACCTTTAGTGTTCACCCAAGGCATCTTGGATTTTAACCTCATCTCCATCTCAATTTGGTCTCAATGAGTAGTGTATATATTATTCTCCATGTATACTAATGTCTCATAACACTCAACTTTTAAAGGTGTCTAAGCTTTCTCATCACATTCGTCAGTCCTCACTCACCTTAAAAAGGTTGCTAGATCTAAATTTATCAATGGATGAAATTCAAACATATTATAAGGTCGTCCTTATGGTTATATGACTTGAAAACTATTTGATAATTGAGAGAAAGAATATATGATACGGAAAAGCTAGAGAAAATTACTCAAGGGCTCGGTATAAAGATCATTAAAAAAAATTCTATATGTTTTAGATTCATAAAAATGTAAATGCTCCTTATCACCCATTATTCATAAGATTATAAAGGCTATAGGAAAGGCTATATCCCAAAAAATAAAAAAGTATAATGCTACATAGACTATCTTAGGCACATACCACCTCATGATTAGTTGAGGGAGCAATGGGTTTGAAGAGCTTTAATGATATGTCTCTAGGTGAGCTTAGTACTACTGAGTATGAACAAGGTGATCTCCATAGTATTGGTGAGCTTAGCAGTGTTAAGTAGGAGGGGGCATATTTGTAAAGTAGTCCGACCAGGGGGTGCTTGATGTTTCAAAGATGTCTGTGAGTTGCTCACAACCTAAACTAAGCCTCAGACCGCATAGAAGAGAACGAGAATGAGCTGTGGTGGTTTTGGAGAAGATGAGCACAGGGGTTGGCTAGTCATTGTAGTGCTAATTAAGGCCCTCTAAGTGGGCACTTGCTATAGCTAGACTTGGATGTAAGGCGCTCACCTTGGGTGGCGACATGTCATTGTGATAACTGCTGCTCTTATATGAGATGAGTGATAAGTTACTTGGTCGACGAGGTCCTCCACTACCCCAAAGACTGGCAACCTTCATAGGCTCAAGCATGTGGGGCCCATGTGATGCAAGTCCTCTTCTTGTAACTTGCAAACTACAAACAACATATTAGTGTGTTGGAAACTAATCCTAGTTACCTTGGTGATCACGCCTCAAATCATCTACATGAGGAGAGTCTTATATTATCTTATATTATAAAATTTATATAGTTTATGTTATGTTTTATTTCAGGTTTAAGAAGTACATTGACTTTTCTACTCAAAGTGGTGACATGGCATCATTTGTGGCATTAGAGGATGATATGGTTATGGAGAAATTTCGACCATGGTAGGTTCAAGAAGAAGGAAGCTTCAAGAAAGCTCTAGAAGTCAAAGTGTTCTTTCATAATCCAAGAATAGTTAATGTGAATGTTCTTTCGTATTCCAAGAATTGTTAATGTGATTGTTCTTTCATATTTCAAGAAGAGTTAAAGTAATAGATTTTTCTATAAACCTTGGACTAGTGTTTGGGCGTAACTATAAAAGAAGGGGAAGAGAGGATGATGTAAGTGTGTGAAAAGAAGGAAAAAGAAAGAGTGAGAAGGTGAAGAGTCATTAGCCTATTTATCTATTTTTTCAAAGAAAGTATTCATCTTGTATTGTTCATCTTTGAAAAATATGTTGAAAGCCATCATAAATTTTTCGTCACCCATAAAAGTTTTGTTCTATCCGCTATGTTTATCATCTAAGTAATTGCTCTTCTCCCTCCAATAAAATGAAGATATATGTTAGTATATAAATTAATTTCTATTTTTTTATTAATATGTCGCTCAAATCAATTTTATGATCAGATTTTAGCATTGAATGAATTAAACATTTTAGACATTGGCTTAAAGCATAGGCCTAATGATTTAGATTTAATATGTTATAATTAAATTTAATTGAATTCTATTAAAATTGGATTGTGAGACGTCGGGTTTGTTACGGATGTTCATTGAAGAGTTATTATTAAATAATCAATGCTAATAGAAACAACAATACCTCTCTTATATAAGTTGACAAATAAGATGCTGTGCACGCAATATTATAGTGAAATGATAACTAAAAAATAATATATTTAGAAGTTGTCAAAAAAAAATTTATTTATACGCATTCTTTTTTGAAGAAGTGTGTACTCCGATTGCATGAAAGGCTTATGAAGAAATAGCCAGAACATTACGCCCACCACATATGTTATATCCCTTAGGAAATTAAACGCAAAGCCTTCCTTCTTCCTTTTTCAAGTCAATTGCGAACTGTCCTCTGTATTCAGCCTGTTGCCAAAAAGTTATTCACGAACTACACGCATTTAAACCAAGCCCACGTAGCCGTCAGCCCCAATACGTGTTGAATTATAACTGATTTTCTTTCTGGAACCACACACATCCCACTAGCTTCATGCCTATATATAAGTAACATACCCTAGTACTCTTCATAGAGAGAGAAAAATAGTAGAAGCTACATCCTTAGAAAAACTTTCAGTTGATTCTTAGTTCTGCAATTTGCATTACATGGCTCGAGCGTTTCTTTTTGCTACAGTATGCCGAGCGTTCATATGTCAGAAGTACGTTTGTTATATAAATCTGTTGGCTGTCAGCTTTACTTAATGGTTGTTCTTATAATAACTGACAGGAGAAGGCTCTCATCGGCAGCGGCGTTGGTGACTAAAGGACAAGGTAGAGCGACGGAGTCGGCTCCAAAAAAGAACAGTGATACGAAAGTGGTGGTAGCGTCGGATGTTCAAAATCCCTCTACGACGGCATGGATGCCAGATCCAGTGACAGGGTACTACGGACCAGCTAACCGGCAGAAGGAAATCGACGCCGCCGAGATGAGGGGCAGGCTCTTCAGCCGCAAATGATTATGGATTGGATGACCCCAGCTTATCGAGTTATGTTCTGTTTGGCTGCTTTGGTTGTGTTATTGGAAAAGTTGATGTTTATGTGAAATTTGTGAGCCATAACGCTACTGCTTTGAATTTGGGGAGAAAGCAATTGACTTTGAGAATAAATTTATGTTCCTCTCTATTTTACAATGAACTTTTTTTATATTTACGAATATGATTGTTGGCTTTTTTTAAATTTAAGTTGTTAAGAGATGAGTCTTCCTAGGCTTAATCTAATACATTCCTTGCGCAAAGCTAACTAGGGTGTAAACAAATCGAGCCAAGCTCGAGTAAGGATTAACTCAAGTTTGACTTGCCTCTCAAAGACAGGCTAGAACTTGAGCTCAAATTTGAGTCAATCTCAATTAGCTTAAGCTAAACTCACTGAAAAAATAGTAAGCTCGACCTCAACGCATTGAAAAAACTAGTGAGCTCAAGTTTGACCTGTGAGAACTAACCAAAGCTATAATAGAATCTTGCTGGAGAAGGATGGTAAATAGTTAGTGATGAAATCTACGGGAGTTTATCGGAGAAGGCAATAATGGCATTGATAGCATTAGGAGGAGGTCACTATGGGAGCACAATGGAGTTGGAGGCGATGGCAGCTCCAAAGAGATCTTGCTAGAGAAGGCATTAATAGGACAAGTGCAAGAGAAGTAATGGCAAAGAGCTCATTGAAGATGGCATTGGTGAAGCCAATGCATGAGGAAGAGACACAGTAGGAGTTCTTTGTAGAAAATATCAATCAATCTAGTAGTGCTTATTAAAGAAAAAGAGTTCTTTAGATTTACAATTGCTTTCCCTTTCCTTTCTAGCTGGGTTAAAGTAAAGCAGAGAGAAATTTGGGATTTAAGATTTTTAATCAAACCAACTTGCAAACCAATGAGTTGAATATCATCAAGCTTAAAATTATACTCGTATATTGTAAAAAATATAATTTGAGCTCAAGCATAGTCTTTTAACCTGATAAACTCAGTTTCTGTGCACCTTAACAAGTGGAATTCAAACTCACTTGCATGTTGATTTGAGTCACTTACCTCCCAAAAACCAACTATATTTAAGTTCTACTAGCAAACTTTGCATAGTCAAATATTAAACACCTCAAATGTTGATTCCTTCCTATTCTTACCTTATGAAGCATGAGATGTCCTTAGGACCTTACTTTTTGTATGTTAGCCTTATAGACTAAACATAAGAGAATTCAGTATTATCTTAGCTTAATAGTACCCATTACGAATTGTCATGTTGTCTTTCTGCTTCTTGATTCAAAATTTAGACTCTCGGATTAGAGCTACTGAATTTTAGCCTGGGATGAACATATTCTATTGGATTTTTTTCTCTCTTTAGAAGCTATAGAGTAGTTTCCTTTTATTACAACTATACTTAGTTTTTAGCCATGTAAATGACTTAAGATTATCTTAGCTTTGAATCCTTGTGGTTTTACTAAGTATAGTTTGTCCAATAATATAGCCTAAGATTTTCTCAATCTTATAATAACCTAAATGGACCCAAGTCTATCCTTAGGGTAGAAAAACACAAACACAGTAGAATCCTTGACTTTAAGGTGTACTTCTAGTCCAAAAAAGCTTAGACTATACATTTGATATTAAAAGCAAAATTTGAGGTAACACTTTTTTATTGAGAATGATCAAATTAATCCATTCTGTGGGATGATTAGGTTTTCTATATATCATAGATTAGTCTGGTCAGTCTTATGAATCATTTCTTAGGATGGATGACTTTAATCAAGTTTATTCAGACTATGGTCAAGCAAAACGATTCAATGTAGCATTTACTTGAAACATAACATACTACTTAGGCTAGTTTGGCCTTAAATTGATCAAATATTTGTAAATAGTATGACTAAGACTCTAAGGAACCCACTCTACTCTTAAACACTTAAAATTAAAATATTCATTTGAAATCAATTATACTAATGCTAAAAAAAATCAAATGGACTAAGCTTAGATATGTTGGGTATAGTGTTAGCACATGCATACCTTTAGCTTAAATTGAGTAATCCCTTAACTAGTTGTGCATGTTACTGATCTATTACTTTTCATTAGTAGTAGGAGGGCCTAACTAAGGCTTCATTTTGGACGGCTTTCTTCCTGCTTCTTAAAATAATTTTTTAGTACAAAAAAATGTAAACAAAAAAGTTGTTTTAAGAAGCAATAAAAAAGTCGTCCCAAACGAAGCCTAAATCCTAGTTTAGCTTGGCTTTTCCTATATCACCTTATGTTGGCATTCAAACCAAAAATAACTCATTAAAGACCAAATGAACCAAATGAATCAATTCATCTAATTTAAAATCAGTTTAAACTTAGTGTTCGACTTATGTGACTCTTATCACAACTTGACCTGACATGACCTAAAAACACTAGGTCATACCGTGTACTATCATGGAAAGAAATAAAACATGACCCAATAATCTAGTTGAAGAAGTGCTGAAGAAAACAAATTTCAAAATTATGCACACCATAGAATCCCTACTGAATATAATAAAAAGCAAGAAGCTAAATCTCAAAAAAAAAAAATATTATTATCATCCAAAAATATATCTACAATTGGAGGTATGTCTTCACCGGCACATGGCAAAAGAGAAAACAACAAAAATATAAACTCAGTCTACATTACTAAACTATCCAAAACATATCTATAACACAAATCTGAGCCTACTATTAAAACTATTTGGCTCTCTCCTTACTCTTTCACAAACCTTAAAATAGAAGCAAAAGTAGGAGTGAGCTAGCATGGTTGAAACCATAAAGACTAAAAATAGTGTTATAATAATAAATTGAAATATTGTATGGAAAAACTCAAAAATTTTCTTTTAGTCAAAGTGGAGATGGAAAAAAAAATTTCCCATCAGACTGATCTCCCTAAACACTGCATTAACACATTAAGCATAAACAAATGTGGGGTGCCCCAAACCTAGAGAAATAGTGCCTCTAATGATATAGGTTAAAGATGAATAAATTAATTTTCCTATATTAGTAGAGAACCTAAATTGAATGGCATAGCTCAAAATAGCATACTCCCGGGTGGCTTCACTAATGTTCCTGCTAGGTAATAGGCGAGCATAAATAAAATACTGCAAAGCTTTGGATGTTTGAGTAAGAATAGAGGCTTGGAAGTTAATGATTTTATTTTCCCTTTTCTTCTAAGTGAATGCTCTATTAGGACGACACAATACTCTTAAAATTTCCTTGGAGTCTTCTGAAGTCTCAAAATAGCTAGTATAATCATCATAGTAAAAATTCTTCAACATATATAGTAGGTTAATGGAAATAAACTTAAAGGGAACCCACTTACCTCTCACGTAACACTTATTATCAACATCCTCCTTTGGATTTGCAAAGAATTACCTCACCATATTCACTTTGCAGCATAAAGTTCCTCACATAATTGCTCCCAACACTAACTCACCATAGTCTGCTTGACAGGAAGATTGGGGCTTTGAAAAGCATGCTTAAGGGTGAGTAGTAATGTCACCACAAACTTGATGAAATGAATGAAAAACATGGTATATATTTATAAATATGACAAGCACTATGACACTATGGGGATCAATACTGCAGCACTAAAAAATAGAAAAGGATAAATGGGTCATATGGGGATAAATGTTATCGTAGGTTGGGACATGTGGTACAATGATGCTTGGCTTTGGGAACCAAAGCATAGATTTATGCATGGGAATCCACTACGGTGTTTACACATACAAGCATTGCGGTGTTTGAAAAATATTAATGTGACAACGCCATAATTGAGACAATAATGACTTAACATAACACCATGGCATTGTCAGTAGCACTATAGTACTCATCGAATTTCCATAATGGAAAAGTTATGATCATACAGTAACTTTTTAGATAGGTAAAAATGACTTTTGACATTTCAGAATTGATACAGTAGTGCTTGAAGGTATAGCATCAAGGCACTACTTGGGTAGTTAAACACTATGGTGTTCAAGCATATTATGCTATGGCAATTCAAATGAGTATTTTTCTTAAGATCTTAGCATTACAGTGACATTTTTGAATGCCCAAGAACTCATCATATGAACGATATGGCACTGTTAACCCTAGCACTACGGCTCTAGTTCATGAAAGTTCATATAGGCTGTTAGACCTATTATAATGTTAACAAAGATGGGGGGTGAATTGATAATTTAAAAATTTGTTGATAAATTATAGAAAATTGTTTAATGATTTTAACCATAATGAAAATTTTCCTTAATTAATTTTTCAACCACAAAATTATAATTGTAGAAAAATAAAATTACAGTAAAAATAAAATTAGAAGAATACAAAAATTTATAGTTGTTCGATCCAACTAGATCTGCATCCACTCTCTGAAGACTCTCTCTTAAGGTATTGCACTATACCAAAGTAACTCTCTTTTTCCATCCACAGTAAGGCGGAGAAGCCTTTAAAATTATCCTCCCTTCCACAAAATCCCAGTGTGGTAGAGTACCGTTTTCCTTTCACACCCTCCTAGTGTCGGCAGAGAACTGGCATCCTTTTATATCCTCCAGGTGTTGGCAGAGTACCGTCATTCTTTCTCACCATCCTGGTGTCAGTAGAGAACTGACATTCTTTCACATCCTCATGGTGTCGGCAGAGTACCATTAACCTTTCGCATCCTCCTAGTGTCGGTAGAGAATAGAATCTTCTCCAAAGATCTTCACTTAAGAGTCTTCAATGAAGTAGGGAAGAGATTTGATAAAATCACAAAGAGATCCTAACCTTTGGGCAACCTTGTGAACCCTTCACAAATTCCACTTACAAGAACTCTCTATCGACACTCTCAAACACCTCCCAAAACACTCTCACTCTCACTCTCAAAAGAAAATTCACAGAAGATTACTTGTTTGTTAGTTTTTAGTACTCTTAAATATGAAAGTGAAGAAAAACCATTTAAAAAACTAAAAATTTTAATTTGATTGTCTTAGATCATATAGTACGATAGCACATCATATATACAATCAATTCAAAAAATGCTTGTACGATCTTGTACGAACTGATTTCATGCACTGGTCAGTGTATGTACGTACTGACATCTTATAGTATAATCAATTTAAGATTGAACAGATTCGTCTGGTATGATTTTGTACGAACGCATTTCGTACACTAATCGGCGTACTGTAGGAACCCTATATCATACAGTACGATC